CCCCCTCCAATCCCCCCCCCCCCCCCCCATTAGCCTCCCCCCCCCCCCCCCCCCCCCACCAATATGGATTTTTTCTATGTAAATCTAGATTTAGTCGAACGTCAATATGAATACCGGACATCGAGCACAAACTATTGCTTTCTATTTTGTAACTAAACGACATTCAAGGTAGAGTGAAGATGATTAGATTAAATACTGTTTAATAATACAAATGTGTCATTGTCTTTCTTTTTTTAGAAATTAAAAAGAAAATTATGTCATATCAAATAAAATAAATAGTAATTACATTTTAGAAATCAATAAGGATTGTGAACCATATTACATATAAAATTATTTTTGTTAGGAAGCGTTTTATTCCCTTCTTCTCTCAATATGAAAACATTCATATGACCCCCTCCCCCCCTCTTTTTAGAAAAATAATAAAAATCTCAATTACAATAAAAGAGCAGTCTCATTCACTACACGTCTACACCACATTTTTTGATTGATACGTTAATATTTTTTTAGCCCTCCGTTGATTGCGGTATCAACAACGCTGCATGACTGGGATCTATCATTTTTTTGCATTTTAGTATAACTACTTGCCAAAAACTAAATGGATAATCATAATTCCATTATCCTAATTAATCAATCATATTTTAAGTTGTCAAAAAATCAATCCAACTTTATTCATCTTTTAATTTGAGTTGTCAACCACATGGTTGGCATCTAGTAGTACCTCTTTTCCTTTTCTTAATTTTTTTTTTCTAGAACACTCATTGAAGATAAAACTATAAACATGAAAAAATAGGAGGAATTGAAATTAATGATTAATTAGGTTACCAAAAACAATAAAGTAGAAAGGTAGTACCTGAATTAACCTAAACCAAAATTAGATTTAGAAGAGGACATACAGATTCAAATAGAAGAATCAATTAGTCAACATGACTAGAAATTAAGTATATTGAAGACTTGAACCAATTAACTAGCAATTCAACTACAAGAATTCATCCAAGGAGAAGAAAATTGAAATTATGTATTTTTTTAATCTTATAATCTATAATTATAGATTTGTAAAATGTACCAAAATACTCTTTCATCTTGTGTTCTTAAACATGTCAGGTGGAAAGTTAAGATTAAAGAATTGTCAAAAAAAAAGGAAAGAGATGTCTAACTAAAAAAAAGTAAGACAAAAAAATTAAAACATAATATTTGGACAATTTTTGTGTGTGATTAAAGTAAGGGAGTTGCAACCTATATTTAAGGTACATTAGAAGACATACGTAAACTATGTGATGTACAAAGTGTAACTCTAGTTGTAGTCTGAATTTAGTCGTGGCTTTAATGCGAACTCTGAATATTGAGGGAGGAAACCAAAAAAAACTCTAGTTGTGGTCTACTAAGATATTATGGTAGGAGTTCAAGCTATTAAGGGATTAGAAGTCCTTCAAAATCCATGATAAGTAGGGCTTCCCACTAACTTAGGTTAATTAAGGCTTAATATTATTAAGATTAGGTGATCTAATGTCTATTTATTATAGATAGAGTTTAAGCGGAGGTAAAGTTAGCATGTAATAAATAAGTGGCTAATTAATAAATTTTAGTCAAATAAAGTGTTGGATTAATTAGGTTATAGTAGCAAATCTTAATTGGGCCCAAAAAGGATCTAAGGTACGACTTAGAACAAAAAAAAAGGCTGTTAAGATATGTATAAAATGTTAAAAGTAGGGAAAATTGTATGAAATAACAAACGTTTAATTCTATTTAAATGATTAGTTACAGTTTAAATTAATTGTATTTCGCAACCAGCCAGAGTGTCGCATAGTTTGCCATTTGGCTGGGACCGACGGAGAACACAGAGAACATACACATATACAAATTCACGTAATTATACAAACACAATTTTCAGAGATACATGAAATGTATGTATATGTATACAAATCTAGAAAAACTAAAACATTTTCAAATATACAAACGAACCTGTTATGTATATGTATAGAAATCTAAATAAAACTAAAACATTCCATATACGAATCATCCAATTGTTCATAATAAATATGACAAAGTATAACACAAAGAACATATACATATACAAATTCACGTAATATACAAATACAATTTTCAAAAATACAAACAAACTTGTAATGTTTATGTATAGAAATCTAGAAAACACATATACATATACATATTTGTTAAACAAACTTTCTCATGCTTTATTTATTTATTTATTCAGAATGTGATTTCTACGCAACTCATTTAGGGAAAATTTCAGTAATATAAACCATTATCTAACTTTATTATAAAAATATAATTCAAAACTTATATTCACATATTTAATCCAAAACACAATTTGGTATATGAAAATATATAAGATTTTCATATTTTATTTTTTACATAAATATTTTAAAATTTGATATGCAACATTATACACTCAGGGGTTGTTTGGTAGAAAAAAAATAATGCAGGGATTAATAACGCAGGGATTAGTAATGCAGAAATTAGTAGTGCTGTGATTAGTAATGTAGGGTATATTTTTTATCAAGTGTTTGGTTCATTGCTTTTGACCCCATCTTGTATTTGGATTAAAACTCTACAAAAAGCTTCTTTCCAATTATGCCTTTGCATTATTATGAGATTTTCTATTTTATGTAATCGATCAAGGTAGATAATTGCCGGGACAATATTATTTTTTATGACCTTCTAACTAGCTAGGAGAAACAATTTTGTTGTCATGTTTGCGATGTTCTCACTTGAATTATTTGAGGGTAATTAATCACTTAAAAAACGTTAATTTTCAATTTAGAATAGATAGACCATCTACTTTAAAACCGAAAAGACGGTAAACAATAGTAAAATCGAATAA